TTGCCTAAAAAAAAAAGAAAAAAAAAAAAATTATAAGCTAGGGCCATATAAAATTGTTTGCAGCTGAAAAATCAAAAGACTGTGGACCTTAGGTCAACCTCTATTTTTGTTTCCCATCTTTTGTTATCTTTCACATGGACTGCAATTTCATTTATTGGCTTTTAGGTATGTTATAACTGGTTTATTTTGACTGGTTATATGCATTATAATCTTATTTTAGGGCTGCCTAAAATGCTCTGCATAACCAGGGGCTTCCTATAAATTATGTCATTAATATCGTTTCCAAATCAATTGTAAACCATACTTCGTAAAAATAAAATTAATCATTTATTATAAATGTAGAATAGTTTTGTGTTATCCTTGGTTAAATTCATCACTGAGATTTGTGTGTGAGAGCTAATGATGGTATTATTATAATGAACAATAAGATGTACTGATGAGTTAAACAACAACTATCAAATTCCTGGAGAGGGCTAGAGAATAAACCTGGAGGGGGGCACTGCATGGGGTTTGAGAAGGTATAAAGAGGTAATATCTAGGTTCAATGCAAACGATTGGGAAGGTAGGTCCCAATTCCTAATCAGTCCCTCACTAGTCACAGTAATAATACATTGTATTTATTGATAGGGTACAAAAATGTAGTTGACAAATATTAAAAACATTAGTACGTACAAAAAGAAAGCCAATTATTAACAAATAGCACTGTCGCGGTCTCAAAACATAATCAACACTATAATTATTAGAAGCAAAACTAACGGCTAAAACACAAGGGTCATACAGCACAACACAACAGTGCAGCACACTGTATATGCTAACATCTATTCCATAGTCTTGAGAATGCTCTTTAATACAAAAATAGAATTTTATCTTAGCACTGGCCCATAGACTCGTGGAACATGCATAGACTTAAACTGTGAAAATTTAGTAGTTCACTCAGGTATACACAAATACAGGTACATGAATTATCATACATGAAAATGAAAATGTTTATTTCCTTGCAAAGTTCACAATGTGTGGTTTACATAGCAACATATGTGTAGAGAACCTAGGATATCCCAAAAGTCAAGACAGAGTGACTTATTTCCAGTTGCATTTACAAGTGGCTACATAAACATGTCTAAGCTCACAGTACATGTGCACTTATACCTTGTTCAGAGTATTTTTGAGACTAACAGAGAGCAACAGTAACACTTGTTGTTATGGGTGTTAAGGGCCACTGTCAGGTCTAACCTTCGCCAGACCTCATTCCCCATTATATTACAATTGAAATTAAATTAGTAACTTTATTTAGGTACAGTAACACATAAGTGCAATTACGCAAATTTAGCTGATTACAGTTATTATATATATTAATATTCGTGTAAATTACCTAAGATAACCCAAAAGAGAAAGTAAATGTGACTGCTTGGATTATTATTATTATTATAATCAAAAAGAAGCGCTAAGCCACAAGGGCTATACAGCGTGACTGCTTGGAGCCCACACATATCTATGGAGGCATCCTTGATCTGTGTCTTGGCTTCAACATTACTTCTGCCAGCTGTGAGTCTTCCATTGTAACAGATATAGCGTCTGATTATTTCCCAAGGCTAACCTCACTACATATTGGTAATACTATCCTTCCTGGTGGGATATTCAAACGGAAACGTTTTAATGTTTCCCCTGATCAGCATGATGACTGTTGCACATGTCACTATCGCCGCAAGGTATGGCAACACCGCATACCCAAGCAAAAAGTGGCACACAGCTCTTATTATAGCGCTCTTAAGTGGTGATATCCAAATTAATCCAAGACCTCAAACTATTGTGCAGAGGCAAAACAGACAGATAAATGACGGTGATAATGACGGTCTAGTAGCTAGGAATGATAACCTTAACTCCATATGTAATGCATACATAGGACAATGTGAGACAATACAGCCATTATTATCTCAAACACTACCAAACAGGTGCATACACTGTACTAAAGTACACATGAAAAACAGAAAAGACACCTTATGTAAAATGTGTAAGGGGTGGGTGCATGATGGATGTATGTACAATTATAGTAACGGTGCCAGAATTCATTTTGTGTGTAACAAATGCACTTTGGCACAGTTACCCTTTAACAATGATAAGATAAGATAAGATTCCAAGAAAGTCAGTGCGTCATCGAGGACTGTCTAACTTATTTCCATTGGGGTCCTTAATCTTGTCCCCCAGGATGCGACCCACACCAGTCGACTAACACCCAGGTACCTATTTGCTGCTAGGTGAAC